CTTCGCGTTGGGCAGTGCTGCAGGTCCCCGAGCTCCCCGCCCCGTCCCCAGCTGCCCTCCGAAACGACCCCGCTCGCCTGTCAGCGCCCGTCTCCGGGAGAGGAAACTGAGGCACAGATCTGAGAGCTGCAGGCAGGGGAGTGGAGGTGGGCAGGCGTCGCGGACAGAGGCTCCGGGGCTGGCGCCGTGCTGCAGGCAGGGGTGCGGAGCAGCCCTGTGGGGTGGGCTGCAGGATGGCTGTCCAGGCAAGGGGACAGTCCCCGCTGGGGACCCTCGTGGGGCTGTCAGAGTTGGGGCGAGCTCCATGGGGTGTTGTGTGCTGAGCAGGCAGAAGGGAGAAGTCCAGTCATGGTGGTGCCTGGCTGGGCATCCCCATCATCCCCAGGTGCCTGTCCCTGCGGTGCCACCAGCACTGGTGCTGAGCCTGACTCTGGCATCCCCAGCGGATGAGGGACCTGTAGGAACTCCTGCCCAGAGCCGGATCCCCGTTGCCCCCCTCTTGCAGAGCCCAAGAAGAGCCCGCAGCAAGCCCAGCTGCCTCCCCGCCATGGACGCCATGGACATGCCTCTCCAGGCCGAGATGGTGGAGCTGGTGCCCAACGGGAAGCACGCAGCCGCGCTCACTGCCTCCGCCGTCCCCTCGCTGGCGGGTGACAGGTAGAGGCATGGGGACAAGCAGGGGTGCCAGCACCCCGGGGGGGTCCTCCCAGCAGCTCCTGCCGGCGCGATGCCAGCCGATGCTGCCGGGGCATGGGGGTGGGCATGGCAGCCCCCGGCTCTGCTTCGGCCTCTCCCTCTCCCCCCGGTGGCCAGGTTTGAGGAGAACCAGTCCGGCATGGCAGAGATGGAGGAGTTCCTTCCCCACGGCGCCGAGAAGAAGCAGACGCACTTCACCGATGTGAGTATCAGCGCAAGCACCGCAGTGGCAGCGGGACGGGGGCAGCTCCCGGTGTGACCGGCGCGTCCCCTCCCCGTCGTGTCTCATGTGCGCAGTTCGAAGGGAAGACGTCTTTTGGGATGTCCGTCTTCAACCTGAGCAATGCCATCATGGGCAGCGGCATCCTGGGGCTGGCCTATGCCATGGCCAACACCGGCATCATCCTCTTCCTGTGAGTGCTGCGTGCTCACGGAGGTTCAGGTGGGGGAGTCCGGGTGTGTGGGGCTTCTCCAAGGGGATCGGTGGGTGCCAGAGATGCAGGTGAGAAAGGGGTCTCTGGCTTGGGGGGACACAGAGACCAGTGTCCTGCTACCTAAGCAATGCCCATCCCTGGCATGAGCCTGTCTGCCCCTGCCGGGCGCTGTGCCCCACTGGGGAGGAGGAGGATGAAGGCTTGACTTCCTTAATACAAGACCAGATTTCCCCACATGGCCCAAACGATGCGGGGGCCGGCTCCCCTTGGGCGTGGGGACGTGGACCCACAGGGCTGGGGCAGCTCCACGGCTGTGGGGTGTCCATATCCCACGGCCCGTCCGCCCCGTGAGCACCCAGGCACTGGCCAGGCAACGGGCTG